CCAAGCTTCAGGGTCTTTCTGCAGCTATTTTCATTGATACTTCTAGGGACCTATAAGCTTTCAGTTCTTCCAAGGTGGTATTATCTAAGGAGAGGTGTTTACTCCTCTCCTGGCCTATTCTGCCCTGGAACTGTGAGGAGTGTCCCCCCTGCACTGTGGCCACAAGCTCTGGTGTGCTAGTGCTCCTCCTCTCCCTGAGACTGCCACCCAGGCATGCATGGGGCATGTGAGTGTTTGAAGGAAGAGTGAATCCCTATCCAGATGGGGCTGGGCATGGATGCAGAAATCAATTTGTCTGCCTGTCTCCTTCCACCCTGCACAGGCCAGCTCTCTGACTCACTAGAAAGTTTTGATTGAATGAGTGAATAGTGATTGAATAGCTGGATGGCTGCTCTTCTGCTTTAGCTCCCCATACACGACCCCAAAACAAAGAGACAACCTGGTGCCTGTACTGGGACCCGAGGCCCTTGGGACAGCTAGGAATGCAAGGGTGACACACCCTCCTGCGGTTCTGTCCCCACCGAGGGGAGGAGGTGTGGGGGAGAGATTAGGAGGGGAAGGGAATGAGAGTAGGGTCGGGAACAAGAGCCCAGAGGTCTGAGGGAAGCTCCCCAAGATTGTGGGGGGGGGGGGTGCTCCTGGGGCTCTGATTTTCTTCTCCCGGTCCCTCCATCACTTCTGGAGTCCAGAAGGGATCTCTTGTTTTGGAGGTGGCTAGCCTGCCTCGGGATATTCAGGGTCCAAGTGGATAAGGACCCCTCGAACCCACTCAACAGCTAAACTCCGGCGCACCCCCACCGTACCCCACCCCCACCACTACTCCTGAGCCACTCAGAGTTCCGCTCTCCACTGCTGTGGAATCCTCACCTCTCCCGGTCTCCCAGTCAAACCCCCGTCGGGTGTCAGTGTATTCTGAGAGGCCCGGGCCTGTGCAGGTGCCAACCCTTCCAGATTGGAACAGGACCGCTGCCCCGCCCCTTATCCCATAGGAGCCACGCCCACACACTCCACATCTGGCTCAGCAGCCCGGGCTCCTCGGCTCAAAGCCCTTAGCCCAGCTGAGTGAGGTCAGCCCCTCCTCGGGCAGAGTAACTGACACCTGGCCGTTGCGGGGGGGCCCCCGTTGCCCTGCGGTCCTCTAACACTCCACCCCCTTGCTTTGGCACTGGCCCCCAGATTGAAACGGTTTCATCCCTAGCTGCTACATAACAAGGCAACCCTCCCTCCCCAATGCCGCGGACGGTTTGCTGGTGCCTTGGAACAGGGGGATGCACAACCCCAAAGCCCCGCCCCCCCATACCTGCCAGCCCTTCCCACCCCGCCTTGCTCCGGCTGGGATGGACACCGAGCTCTGTCTTGGATAGGGGTAGGGCTGAAACCTGGAAAGGACAGGGGTTGGAGGGGGCGATGGAAGCATCGCATTGTCCTTGTGGAGAAACTTGGGGGATGTGGATGGATTTTTGTGAGGGGGGGTGCAGTGGGGTGCGGGCGCACAGCTTTTTCTCCCCCGTCCTTTAGAAAAATCCTTCTCAACAAAGTCAGCTCCCACCTCAAAACAATTTCAGTGCTAATTCTGTCAAATATCTTCAGCTCTGCTCCCCTTCCTTGCAGAAGCTGACGTCCCTCCAGACAAGAAATGCCCTGTAGATTATATTATTTTTTTACAAAATTAATGATTTATAATATAATTTATAATTTTGATTATTTTTTGTTCCATTTTGAGTTCCTAGTGGTCTTCCTCCCTCCCAACCACACGTTAGAGGCCAACATTTTATATAGACAAATTCTTATGTGTATGTATGTGTGTATTGTCAACTATATACCAAAGGTTTGAACAAGAAACAAACAGAATCAGACGGTATATGTGCTATAATGTGCTTGTTTATTCTCATTAACCCAGAGAATCACACATGATGGAGTCAGAAAATAATTCTGAATTCAGAGGTAAACAAGTTGAAGGAGACCCTTTACAGGGTTAGAGCAATCCCAACTCAGGATGCCTGTGCAAATCAAAATTATAGTCTCCATATGTGTCAACCATGATATGAGAAAGGAATTTCTTAATAGGATAGGCTGTAAATACAATAAGATAAGAGAATGTCAAGGTGTCAACTGAAATTATAGATCCAGGATGTCTGTGTTTCTTTTATCATTAATGTAACACAATATAACAAGTAAAGTCCCGAGACTCAACTCAGTGTCTGGTTCAAGGCACCTTGTCCATGGTAGTCATAAACAGAAGAAGGCTCTTGATCGCTTCATCTGACCTTGTAGTTGCTGACACAGGAAGGGGCATTTTGAGTTCACTCAGAGAGTGAAAGCATATCTGTTATGCCAGAGTACACAAGGCATTATGGTAGGTTAAGCTCAGAGTCAGCCAAATATGTCTTTCTCCTGATTGGCCAATCCAGGTTTTAGGGTGTGTATCTACGTGTACCTACATATGTGCATATATGTGAAGAGAGAGAACCTTTCCATATGTGAGTTCTTTCTCTGGAGGGGGATGGAATTTTTCATTCATAAGTCTTTCACTATTGACTTGAATATTAATATTACTCTGAATAGCTTACTCACTCACAGTTACTCTTTGAATAATATTACTGTTACTGCATACAAACATGAGAGATGATTCATTGAGGACCCCTACTCAAACTCTAATCAGCATTAGTCAGTTCATTATGATTTTCTGAGGGGTATTGATTGCTAGCAATTGTTTGAATGTATTCATCTAGTAATACATATCTAGTCAATCACCTGATAATAGGCATAAAAATAAGCAATGTATTAATCCATACTTTGTGTAAGTCCCATAGGAATATAGATTCTAATAGGAAGAGCCCGTCCACCTTGTGCATCACCTACTCATTGGAAATCTTCCTTGCTTCACCCAACCGGTGACCCTACCGGCATCTCATTTTTGCTTATTTTAGCTTATGAGTCATATGTCAACTAATGGAATTCTGTATTTTGTACAATGGCTTTAGAATGTCTAGGTAATAAATCTCATGTCAAACACTATAAAACTAGGGTGCTGGAAGGAAGGGGCATCTCAGATGCTGAGGAAGATCTGAGGTCCACTTCCTCAGAAAGGATCATGGACCCTTTAATCCAGTGACACCAGCTCAAAGCCCTACCTCAGTCTCTGATTGTAGGTTAGACAGTCCCCATAAACATACTTTTAGTTGTACTCCTTTCACTCTGCATGCCTTAGAGATTTTGTTTCAATAGTCAATGACAGGAGTTTCCTGTTTTCAGGGGAGAAATCATCTGGAGAGACACAGAAGGCTGGTCCCCTGATGTCTCTTTCTCATCCAGCACCTACCCACCTGACCCTGTCTGAACTGCAGAGGTGAGTAAACTGAGGCCCTGGCATCTTGCCCCTAGGGAATCAATGGAATAACAATGGTTGTTTTCCCTTTTCCAAAGGGCACGTTAGACCTTGGAATGGTAACTGGGTTTTTGAGGATTGGTATGCCAAACGAAAGTGTTTGTGGATGCCTGGACAGAAGCAGGCAGTTGGGCAGGCTGGCCGGCCAGCCAGGATGAAGGGACTTCAGGCCCTGTTGGATGTCTGCTTTTTATCTTCCTCTTCCCATTTCCAACCCTTCCCTGTTCTCTTTTCACTCATTCCATCATGACTGTCCTCTCAGGCTGGATCCAGGGTCCATCCTCTCAAATTCAGTTGTTGATAGGATCGACCAGGGAACCCAGGCGTTTTGTTTCACTGAAGTCTTCTTCCTTTTATTTTTCTCTCCCCCCCCCACCCCCACCAAGATTTTAATTGCTCCTTTCCGTTTTCTTCATCCCATCATGGAGGAACTTAAGGCTGAAGGAACCACTTCTTCTCTCCCCCTTCCCCAACAGAGAGAGAGAGATGCACGAATGCAAACTTCGAGGCCTGGGTAACATTTCTGTCCACTGAGATCACATCCAGAGGACACCAGGCTTTTCAGGGTTCATCTCCACCTCCTCATTCATCCTTTGAACCAGAGAACCCAGACTGCTTTGTGGTACTGAACTCCTCTTCCCTGTATTTTCCTTCTCTCCCCTCCCTCCTTTCTCCCTCTTTCCCTCATCCCATGCTGGAGGTTCTTCACACAGCAGGAGTCTAACACCACACATACAAAAGCCCTGAGGCCTGGGTGACCTTCCCGGCTCCACCTGCCCCTAGATGTCACAGGGAAGCAGTTTGGTTTCTTTTTCTCTCTTTCTTTCCAGTCCAACATTCTGATGACTGTGAAGACTTGTCCAGCCACTCACCCCAGCTAGTGTGTTCTGTTAGATGACTTTTTAAAATGTGTGTACCCGTGTCCACCTTTGCTTTCTGTGCCGTTTCCCTCTTGTCTTTTTTCTTCAGTGTGGTTCGTCCTCCATCACTTTACTTGTGATTGAAGAAAGAGAAGAGGATGAGAATGAGATCGGGTGACCAGCCCAACACCTTATCAGGTAAGTGGGCTCCATCATTGATAGCTCACTCCTTTTTTTATTCTTCTTTCGATGATCCTGATGACGACTGTCCTTATCAGGGTGGCTGGGATTTTCTTTTTCAGTCTGGGAACTGACAGGTGGGCCAGCCCTGGGACCTGGCTGGTTTGGCTGCCCTGGCCCCTCCTTAGCCTCAGTCTGCCTGTCTGACCCCATACCTCCCCACCTTCTTTGTCTCTCTGCAGACCTGCCCACCTGCCCTTCCCAGTCACCCGAAGTGGGAAAAGGTTCCTAACTGGCAATGGGATTCCCCTTCTGCCCCTCATCCAGTCATTCAACAATCTCCTTTCTTTTCTGTCCCTACGTTTTTTGCACCACTCCTCAACATGTCCCTGCCAGGCCTGCCAAGGAGTTCAGTGGCTGTGTGGCTGGATGGTTGCGTGTGCTGGGGCGCATCCCTGCATAGATGGATTTGGGAAGCTGGGGAACAGCCAGCCCACCCAAGGCCCATCCCTGGCCTCCAGGGCTCCTTGCTCTGCTTCTGGTTTTATCCCCATCGAAGCAGCAGCAGCACCAGCAGCAAGGCATTTCCCCATTGCCTGCCAGGAATGGGTGTGTGTGGGGGAGGGGGGTTGTGAGGGTAGCAGTGATGTCAGGTGGGTGGGAAAGATTTCTCTACCTTCCCTTCCTTCTTCCTCCTCTCCTTCTTCAATCCCTCTCTTTCTCCCTCTCTTTATCTCTCCTCTCCTCTGCCTGCCTGGGAAGAAGGAAAGGGTTAGGGAGCATTAATTAATCCCCCGGAGGCTTCTTTTCTTTCTGTTCTGTGAGTCCCAGTACTATTCCCTTGAGCACAGGCTAGGCCTTGGAATGTCTGGATAAGTCACAGGGAGGGGGACAAAGAGTCAGCTGCTTGGAATGAATAGATAGGAGAGTTAGGTGAATGGTTTTTTTGGCTTAGATCGACGGTGCCTGGCAGACCTAGGCTTTGCTTCTCTTTTGTGCTCTGCCTCAGCCCTCCCAAGAAAGGGAGCAGCAGGCTGGCTGGATTGGGGGGCACTTCATGCTGTTCCCCTGGCAAAACCTCCTCAGGTTACCACGTCACACCGATCAGGTGGGTTAATATGACAAAACAGGAAAATGATAAATGTTGGAGAAGATGTGGGAAAATTAGGACACTAATGCATTGTTGGTGGAGTTGTGAACTGATCCAACCATTATGGAGAGCAATTTGGAACTATGCACAAAGGGCTATAAAATTGTGCATCCCCTTTGATACAGCAATACCACTACTAGGTCTGTATCCAAAGAGATCAAAGAAAAGGGGAAAAGACCCACATGTACAAAATATTTATAGCAGCTCTTTCTGTGGTGGCAAAGAATTGAAAATTGAAGGGATGCCCATCAATTGGGGAATGGCTGAACAAACTCTAACCCTAAACGCCTCTAACCCCAACCCTAAACCAGTTTAGACTGTTTCAAACCAGCCAAAACCGATTTAGACCAGCTCAAACCATCCAAAACTGGTTTAGATCAGTTCAAACTGGCCAAAAACTGGTTTCAACCAGATAAAAGCAACCAAAAAACAGTTTAGACTGGCTAAAACCAGTTAAAACCAGCTCAAACCAGTTTAGACCAGCTCAGATGGCCTGCTCATAAAATTACCCATTAAAACTAATTTAAGCCAGTCAAAACTGGTTTGAACTGGATTAAATTTAAATTAAATTTAAGAGGAAAGGCAGTGGATTTGATGGGGTTGGTGTAAAAGAACAAACCAGTTAAAAACACAAGTATTGAAGCACTGGGCAGGCAGGAGGTGGAAGCATTTCCAAGCCAGTCACCTGAGAGGGTATAAGAAAGGAACTTCTGCCTCTCTTTGGACTTCTAAAGGGCACAGAATTTAGATTTCTCATTGGCATCCCAGTGATGTGATTTAGGTGTGCAGGGACCCCAAAACTATGGAGGTACAGGACTGAGTCATGTGGAAAGGATTCGAGGACTTAAGCAGTCTTCTAGTCAAGTGGTAAAAAAGTTTATTATGTGGCTAATAAAGTAGATGGAGCTTCTTAGGGAACTTGAAACCTATGGGGGGGTGGATCCAAGCTTATATAGAAAAAGTTCAGTAAATGATGTGCCAAGTATGCTAATTAGGTGGTGCAGGGTGGGATCAAGGAGTGGTCAGCTCTTAAAAGAACCTTACAGTTTCTGTACCTTGGGTGCAGGCATCAATCACTACTAAAAACCCAGGGTGGTGGTGGGGGTACGCTTCTAAGGAGCATGTTTTCGGGCTGTCACGGATGGCCTCAGGAGTTGATGTCTATAGCTTGGCCTCTAGATTGTAACTGGACATCAGTACATGATGGTTCTGGTACAAGATAGTCCTGTTCACATGAGGGAAATTCTACAGCAGTCAGCTTGTCCTTGTAACAGGGAGAGAGTTTGCCTCACTGGGGCCCACTCATGAGTTATTGCCAGAGATGGGGTCTTTGGGCTAGGGAGAGATGGGCTCCTAGAGCCAGGGTACAAGCACCCCTTCACTAAGGGTGTTGAATACCAGGGGCTGTCTGCATTAGTAGATGAGCACAAACTAGACATAATAAGGAAAGGCAGCTTCAGGACTTTATCAAGGACTCAGGTTAGAGTGAGCATGAAGGAAACTTCATGAAAAGTCCCACAAAGGGAAAAAATCAGCCAGGAGCTGTGAATAGTGTGCTCTGAACTTGATCCTACTTTCCCCTGGATTCTGTCTGTACTCATTGTTATAAAGATGACCCCAGACTCAGTTCCGAAGACTGGTGACTCAAAGACTTTTTATTAAAGAGGTTGAAGTGCGTCATTTCAATTCGCCTGAGAAACGGGCGCACCTTCTTGGAAGGAGAGAAATTCAAGCGGTAAAAGAAACCAGAGCAAGCTTTATAGTTAGTAATTGCCTAACTCCTCCCTTCTGGATTAGGATTGGTCCTAATCCTTCTGGGTTACAATCTTCCTTATATGCCCACCTCCTAACATACATTATGTGGCTAGAATTGTGTTATCACTCCCCCCTTCCCCCCCACAGAGAAGTTAGCCTGTCTGTGCTGATTTCCTATCTACTTATGTGGAAACTTAACTCTTTTCATTTCTCACACTCATGGAAAACTGTGTTCCTAAAATTACTGAGGGGCAAGGGTTACATTCTGACCAACTATTTTTACTATTCCACCTTAGTTAATTTTTTTGCTAACAGTTAATTAAGTCTAGCTGGCTAATTAATATAAACTCATAATGAATGGAGAAACCAAACAGGTGGGCTCTCCTGAGGACCAGAGCACTAAAGGAAATTCCCAACCCCACAAAACATGCAGTGGGGATGTAAGCTACTCCCTAGGGACTCAACCTGCTAGGTTGAATTTGACTTGGTAGAACAAATACAGATCCTATATTTTTATGAGTCAAAGATGACCCCGATTCATATACCAGGGAGGAATAAAGCAATGAAAGAACTATAAATCGATTTTATTAATGAATATTAAGGCAAAATTTAAAACGAAATCTTAGCAAAGTAACTCCAGAAATATGTAGACAGGCAGTAGATGAGAAGGGAGAGTATTTCAGGCATGGAGAACAGCCAGCGAAAATGCCCAGATCTGAGAGAAAGAGCAATTTCTTTGTAGAACAGCAAAGAGGCTTGAGGCAGGCAGACCTAACAGCCGGCTATTGCAATAGTCCAGACATAAGCTGATGAGGGCCTGCACTAGGGTGGTAGGAGTGTAGAGGAAAAGGGGGTATATTTGTAAAGTGAAATTAACAGTCCTTGGCAACAGATTGAATATGGGAGGTGTGAGAGATTGAGTAATCCATGATGCCCCAAGGCAGCCCACATGCTTCATTAGTAACCATAGGTTGTCCAGACTTCTAGAGTAAATCTCCCACTGCAACAAAGGATTTATTGGAAAGCATGGATAAATGTATGCTTAAATAAGAGGGGAGGGAATAGGTTAAGAGGTGTACCAATGGAGGGAATGCTTGCATAGATGAGATGGTTGAACCATAGAAATAGCAAAGTGATTCTATTTCCGTAGACTTTCTCTTACATTCCTCTTCCTCCTTTCTTTCTATCAGTATGTGTCTCTGAAATTGCACCTGAGAGATGTGTTCTGGGAAGATGGTGGAGTAGGTCAAATTTCCAGGCTCTCCAGATTTCCTCCACAAACAGACAGAAAATCACCATGAGCAGTAAAAATAAAGGGGTAAAACAGTTGTCCTCCTAAAACATCTTGAGAGGACCTCTGAGAAGACTCCAGGGGCTGAGGATTGGTCTGAGGGAGTTGTAAATACCTCTAAGCAGAATTCACTGAATCAACAAACAGTTGGCCCTGAGGGAAGCAGTTTTCACCTCAAGAACCTTTACCTCACAGCCTCAGGAACTTTCACGTCACAAACTTCCATCTAAAGAACAGTAGATGAGAGGCAGAGCCAAAAAGATGGCGCAAAGGCTCACCTGAGCTCTCCCCAAATACTTTGTAAAAACCCCTCCAAATACTTTGTTAAAAAATTACTCTGTTAAAAATACATGTTGAAAATTTAAAAAAAAAAAAAAAAGAAAAGAAAAAAGAAAAGGAAGGATGAATAGCAACCAAAAAAAAAAAAAAACCAATAGCACAGGTGAGTGGTAACAAAGGCCAAACCAAGTTGATGGCAATAGGAAATGTCAGTGATATATTTGAGAGATGTTTAATAGACAGAATTGACAGGGTATCATAACTGACTGAATGAGAGGTGAGAGAAAAGGAATAGTCAAAGATAATCTAAAAGTGACCAATATGACAGACTGAGTGAATAGTATTGACAAAGACAGAAACAATGAAATCAGAAGAGGGAAAGATAAGGAACTAGGTTTTGGACATGTTAATAAGTTAGAAGTGTTAGTGGTATACCCAAATGAAAACTGCCTGAAGTCAGTTGGAGTTGCTCAGAAAACAAGTCAAGAGCAGATATATAGAATTAAGAATTATCTCCACAGAGGTAGTAGTTGAAGCGGTGGGAGTGAATAACCTTGACAAGAAAGGGTGTGTAGAGAGAAGAGGATTAAAGACAGACTTTTCTGGAATGCTTATATTAATTTGTTAGGAGAAACTCAATCAGAGGATTCAGAGAAGTTACAATTAGAAAACTAGAAGATCTAGGGGAATGTAATACATCTGAAACTAAGAAAAGAACATTCATTATAAGGAGGTAGTCAACAGTGTCAAAAGCTACTGAGAAGCTGATGATAAGGACTGGAAAAAGGCTTCTGGGTCTAGAGACTGCTGATCTTTGGGAGCAATTTCAGTGGAGAAGTGTGGGAAGAAGTCTGAGTGAAAGGGTTTAAGGAAAGAGTAGACAATGAGAAAGCAGAGGTATAGGCTTTTACAAATTTTAAAGGAAATTTAATAATGGGAAAAGAAAGATGGGGCAGTAATTGGCTCAGAAAGACATAAGTATATTTGTAGGTAGAGGGAAAGGAGCCAGTAGTGAGGGGAGAGACTGAAAATTATTGAGACAGTGGAAATGACTTTTGTGCAAGGTCCTGGAAGAACCCAGAAGCCTTTGACCCCCACCCCAAATTTTCTTTAGTACAGGACACCTATCCTCAGTTCTTCCAACCACTGCTCATCAAAAGGGGCTTCCATTCTCTACCACCTCAGGCATGTTGCTCCAGATAAGCTCCATTTTGTCAGTGTTCTTATTAACATGAGGAACCTAGAATGGAACATATTACCAGATTATGGTTTTATCAGACTACATTAAGAATACTATTTCCCATGATCTAAACATCATTTCTTTATTGACACAATCTAAGAACGTACTATCTTTTTTAGAAGTCTGGTTACACTTTGGGTTTGTATTTAAACTCACTGTCAATTAAGTTCCCCGGGTCTTTCTCACATGAATCAAGTCTCAAGGATCCTGAACATGTGCAGCAAACTTTTTTAGGTCCAAATGAAGACTTTACATTTACCTTGATTAAATATAATCTTGTTAGTTTCAAAAAAAAAAAATTACTCTGAAAGAAATTGAACAAGCCATCAATGAACTCCCTAGGAAAAACTCTCCAGGGCCAGATGGATTTACAAGTGAATTCTATCATACCTTTAAAGAACATTTAATTCCAATACTATATAGACTATTCGGGAAAATAGGCAAAGAAAGAATCCTAGCAAATTCTTTTTATGATATAAATATGGTGCTGACAAACAAAGCCAATGCAACTAAGATTAGAAGGAAGGTAGAAAATTGGGAAAGAATTTTTACAACCAGTCTCTCTGATAAGGGCCTCATTTCTAAAATATATAGAGAATTAAGTCAAATTTATAAGAATACAAGCCATTCCCCAATTGATAAATGGTCAAAGAACAGA